ATTGTCTTTTTCTTTGTTTTTATCTTTTGATTCATTTTTCTTATCATCTTGTTGATTATTTTGATTGGTATTATCTGACTGATTATTTTGGTTATTGTTAATATTTTGATTGTTGTTATTTTGAGAGTCGGTATTTTTTGGAGTGTCATTTTTTGGAGTATTATCATGTGGTACAGGTGGTTGATGTTCATTATGTTGTTCATTGTTTTGGTCAGATTGTTGTTTTTCTGGCATTGGTTGATGTTCATTGTGGTATTGTTTTTGTTGATCTTGTTCTACATGTGGTTGTTTTTCATTATGTGGATGTGGATTTTGTTCTGGCATTGGTTGATGTTCATTGTAAGGATGTGGTTGTCTTTCTGGAATTGGTTGTTGTTCATTGTGTTGTTCTCCTTCATGACCATGTGGTTGTGTTGTTTGACTATTTCCATCTTGACTGAGTGGTTGTACTCCTTGACTTTCTGGTTTTGTTGGTACATTTATTGATGCTGGTGGTTTTACATCAGTTTCACTTTTTAAATGTACATTATATTCATTATACATTCTTTTGTATTGATTCGATTTTATTTGTGTGCGTATTATTTCTCTATTTCTTTCTTCTGTATTATTAATACTTTCTGTTGCATTAGTAATTACAATAATTAATAGAAATGTAAACATTGAATGAAATGTATGTAAGTTCTTCTCTTTAAATGTATTCTCTTCTTTATTTTCAATTCATTCTTCTTATTTCAATTCATTTTATTTTATTATCATTATCATTTCAATGTAAAATATCAATAAATTAATTAAATATTCATTTTATTTCAGCATTTTTGTTTGGTTCTTCAACAAATAGAATGACATTCATTATGAAATTTCATTTTTGTAATTCAATAAACAAAATTAAAATATAAAATGGTATTTCATAATTAATAATAGTTATATTTTATTATAAATGTTTGTTACAAAAATAACTTAAATTTAAATAAATAATCATTTTATATTCTTGTTGATTTTGAATTTAAGTTAAATGTATTTCTAATTTATTGTTATTTATATTCTTTAATCTTTGTTTCTATTCTATTTCTTTGTTAATTTCTTTATGAAAAAATACTTTACTTATTATAATTTTATTAATTGTGCTAACAATGTTCTTTTTTATTATCTTTTTCTTTATATTTATTATTTTACTACTATTGTTTTTCTTAAAATCGTTAATCTTCATTTCTTAATATATTGTTTGTGTCTATTAATATCATTTATTTTATTATTTTCTTTTTCTTTTATTCTAATAATTCATTTTTTATCATTTTTTATCATTTTTCTTTGTTACTCGTCAGTTTTTGCATATTTTACTATTTCATTTATAATTATTATCCACTTTATATTTCTATTCATTTTATCATTTCTTTTTATTGTATTATTTGTTTCTTCTCTTTTATATTCTCTTTTTATTATTAATGTATATATTCTGTTATTTATTATTAGTGTGTTTCAATGAATATAACAAAGTGGTTATAATTCTATTATTCATTTTATATTGAATATACGACGTACATAATAATATTTGTTTTTATTCATGAAAATTAAACATGATATGATATTAAAAATCGTTGCTTGTTAAATAAAAATATTGTGTTTGAATTAAAATAGATTATATTAATAATTATAATTTTATTTCAAACATACCAATTTAAATATTAATCATTAAATAATCATATTTCTTCATTATTAAATTTTAATTCTTCTTCCTTTTCACTTCTTTCATCAATATATTCATCATCAAAAAATACGATTATCGTTATTCTATGAACTGAATAATAAATTAATAATTAGTATATTATATTAATACTATTTTTCATTCATTTCTAGTATATTTAAATCGATTTGATATTATATTCTATATTCTTTCTAATAACATAAAACAAAGAAAGAAGAAAGAAATAGTAAAGATAAGTCTAATAATATTGAAAATATAATAAATATAGATAAAATGTTAAAACAAGAATAAATTCAAGAATAATGAAGAAATATAATAACTAACAAATTAAATACAGAAACAAGAGAGAATCAAATAAAATGATAGAAAGAGAACAAGAAATAACAAATTTTGAAAGAGGAATAAGAAAGAGGAGAAAATGACAGAAGAAAGAAATTAGAAATACAATGAGTGAAGAATATTAACACATGAAATAACAAAAATAACAACATACATTATATAATATTCAAAATAAATAAGAATAAGTAAATAAAATCAAAATGATATATAAATGTTAAATAATGAAGAAATTAACAAAGAAAACGAAAGATGAATATAAACACACCTAAACGACAATAAAGAAGATAAATATAAAAAATCTAAAAAATGACAAATAAATAATACATTCTCATAAAATTAAATACAAAATGAATGAACAAATAAAAGAAATTATTATGAATAATAGCAATAAAGAGAATAAACATAAAGATGATACAAGAATATTAAGAAAGAGAAAATAAAATAAATAAGTTAATAAGTAATGTAGAAATTATTGAATTAAAAAGAGAAAAACAAAAATGAATAAGAAGACAAACAAATAAAAATAAATGTAAATATAGTAATGGTGAAAAATATTTATACAAGAATTAAAGAAGAAAAATAATCAATAAATAAGAGAAAAATAAAATAGATAATCAAGAAGAATAAAAGAAAAAAAAACAAGTGATAAAAATGTAACAAAATGAAAATAAACATGAATAAATATGAATGATAATAATTAAAATATTTCAACACAAAAAGAAATGATATAAATAATAACAAAAAATAGTAAAATAAAGTAAGAAAAGAATATAAATAATGTATAAATAATATATATTAAGAATGAAAATAAGTAAAGAGAAAGAATGAAAGAATGATTAAATGGATAAATATACAACTAATGTCATAATTAAAATAAATAAATGAATTATCAGATTTCAATTTCAATAATTAAATAAAATGATAAATAGAAAATACTTATTTGAAAATGAATTTACAATAAAATATAAAAATTCATAATGATTATATTTAAATGATAAATAAATATGAAATAAATAATAATAAAACATGTATTTCATAAGAATATAATAAATATTCATCATAATATTTAAAAGAAGAATAAAATAAAAAGAAGATAAAAGAAGGAATGATAGAAAATACAATAATATAAAATAAAGAATAATAATCACAAATAATGAAATTCAATCATTATAGAAAATGAATAAAATGAAGAATAATAACAAAATAAAGAAAATGAACGAATAATAAAATATATAAATAATATAGAATGATAAATGAAATTGTATTTATTACATTTTATAAATTATCAAATAAGTATAAAATGAAAATAATTAAATGAAATACATTTAATTCAATCAAATTACAATACAATTACAAATAAGAAAATCGAGAAATACGAAATAATAGAAATAATAGAAATAAATTACATAAATGATAAAATAATATAAAAAGAAATAAAGAATAAAATAAAGAATAAATAAACATATAATAATAAAATGAAAGAAATAAAATGAAAGAAATAAGAAGTTATTTAGAATAAACAAAAATATAAAATGGTTATAGAATAAAATAAAGAAAATCATATAAAACAAAAATGTCAAATTGTAATAAATAAAAATAATAATAAAATATGAAGAATAAATAGACAATGAAATAAAAGAATCAAATATCCAAATCCAGTATGTATGAAGATAAAATGTAATTAAATGAAATGAGATAGACTCAACAAGAAATAAAACAAATGAAAGAAACAATACAAAATAATAAATAATACAAATTAAATATTTATTTCATAATTAAAACAGTGTGAATTGAATAATGAATTAAATTATTTGAATATTAGTTATTTATATTCATTTCATATTCTCATTATGTCTTATTATTCATTTATTTTGTCATTTTATGTCTTTGTTAATGTCAGATATATCAAAAAATAAATTATTCATTTAATAAAATTTTGGAAATGTTTTATTAATTTTAGAATTTCACCTTCTTCTATTTTAGATAAATCAACATCTACACTTAATTCACGTTTAACATCACTCCCAACAACAGAACCACTTAATTTCATCATTCCATTTTGATTAATTTGAATTGTAAATTCAATTATTTGTTCTCCAGCTTTTCCACTTGGAATTCCATCAATATGAAGTGTGGCAATATATTCCATTTCAGGAGAATTAACATATTTTCCAAATCCTTTATAAGTATTTAATTCAATTGATTTTTGATTGTCTTGTATTGTACAAATTCTTTTTGTTATTCCATTTGTAGGAAGTACTTCTCCATCTTTAATAAGTTTTTGAAACATTCCTCCTTCTACTTCTATTCCAATTGGTGTTGGAACAATATCATATACAATTGTAGTACTAGCAGCATTTTCTTTTTTTAAATATGCTAAATATGCAGCTCCTTTTGCAACAGCAGTAAGTGGATTAAAATTATAATCAGCAAATGTTTTTATATCAAATAACTTCCCAACTTCTTGTTTAATTCTTGGCATTTTAGATGTACCACCAACGAATAATACTAATTGAACATTTCCTTTTTTATATCTTTTTCTTTGAGTGACTTGTTTTATTTTATTAATAAATCTTTCATATAATCCTCTTTTTTCACATTCTTCTTCAAATTCTTGTCTTGTAATGTTAGGATCAATGCCATAGCCATCATAATCTTCACCACCAAAGAATATTTCTAAATATAATTCAGCATCTTGTTTCCCACTTAATTCAATTTTAATTCTTTCTGCTTCTTTCTTTAATATAACTAATTTCTTATTAAGAGTTATCTTTTCTTTTTGAGTCATTCCTCGTTTCTTTTCATAATATCCTTCAACGCCGTCTTCTACTCTTTTTTTAATAATGTCAATCATCACGTTATCAAAATCATTTCCTCCTAAATCTTGATCACCTCCACTTGATTCTACTCGAATATTATTATCATTTATTATTCTACAACATGCTACATCTAATGTTCCTCCAAAATCAATTACTACAACTCTATCTCCATCTTTTAATGAATTTGGATATTCTCTTTTATATTCAACAATAGCTGCTGTTGGTTCATTAACAAGTTCAACATTCTTAATTTCTGCTAATTTACATGCTAACAGTGTTGCATCTCTTTGTCTATCATTAAAATCAACTGGAACAGTAACAATAACATTTGTTATTTGACTATTTTTTAGAGATGCTTGTGCAATATCATACATATATTTTAATATCATTCCACTTATTTCTTCTGGTTCAAATTCTTCAATACCTTGTGTTTTTGGATTATAACATTCGATATATGCACTTCCATTATCTCTACATTTTACTTCAAATGGATAATTATCACGGTGTTCATAATTCACATCACATTCATCTCTTCCTATAATTCTCTTAGAATCATAAATAACACATTTACTATTAATATCATTTTTAGCACCATCTCCTATAATTGTATAACCACTTTTATCTAATTGTGAAAGACTAACCCATGAAGCTACTTGTTCTTTTCCTAGTTCATCTTGAACTATGACAGATTCACCTTTATTAATATCAAAATATGCAATAGAAGAATACATAATTCCTAAATCGATTCCAATTGAAAATGAATTTTGTTCTACAGTCATGAAATGATGATTTTAAGTTTATTTTCAGTGGTATTTAATATGGTTTTATTTAACAACTTAAATAAAATAAATGTCATTCCATTATGTTTTTAATACTAAAAAAAAACTAACTTATTATAATTTAAACATCATTTTTTTAAGAATTTTCTCCTCAAATGTGAAATAAATTTAACAATTAGTAAAATTTATTAAAAAGAATTTTTTATTATTTTTTATAGTTTAACAAAATGTCATTTATTTTTTTTTAATAATAACAATTTTTATTTTTGGATAGAGATGGTGTTAAATCAGAAACATACACAAACATTAATACAAAATCAAATAATGAAATATCAAATAATAATTGATTATGATGTAATTTAATAAGAAATATAATAATAATATAAAGAATGAAATAAGATAATAAGACAGAATAATAACAAATGAAAAAGATATAAATGATGTTAATAATAAATGAAATTATACATAATAATATAATAATAATGATATATTCATTCATAAAATAAGAAGAAAAGAAGTTATTCAAATTAATATAAGCATCAATGAAGAATATAATAAAGTATTAACAATATGGAAGAAATAAATAAATAACTAAAAAGCAATTAATTAAATATTAATAGAACTATCTTCTATTGTTCCTGAATCAGCGGAGACTAATCCCGTCAATTCTTCATCTTCAAGCATTTCTATGAAGTATGTTTGGTTGTGATTGAAGCAGTATTCCATAACATCAATCATGTTTTGTATTCCATTGTTTTTAATTTCTTTCTCGATGTCAATGTCATTCTTTAATTCTTTAATTAATTTATTACTTTCTTTATTTACTAATCCATTGATTGAAATTACTACTGGAATTATTTTGACATCTTTTAATTTCTCTATTTTCATTAGAATATTCTTTAATTCCTTATACATATTTCTTTTCTTCAAATACACTCCATTAATATTGTGATATGTCACAACAGTCATATCAAATAATAGACCAGTTTTATTCTTTTTATCTACTACATATATATCTGGTATTTTGTGATATTGTCATTCACTTTTAGGCATTATTTGTTTGTTCCATATCATTGTAATGTCTTTATATTGGAACACTGTTTCATATGGAGATTTTTATATTAGTGGTAGTAAGTCATAAAAATAAAGAATAAGAAATAATAACATAAATATGTTGATGTATTTTATCATTTCTTTATTTGTTTATTCTTATTTCTATTATCTTATTCATTTGATTCATAATGAATTAATTCAATGAAATAATACAAATAAATTGTTTATTCATTTCATCTTATTTCTCTTTCTTTCTTATTTCTTTTCTTATTTATTAAAAAAACACCCTCATTGGGTGTGAATATTTCAAATGAAATAAAATAAATCAACATTGAATTATATCAATTTTTAATTCACTATATCATTCATTGGCAGATGAACAAAATGTTCATATTCTTCATTGTTTTGTTTCTATTCTTTTTTTATTTCATTTTCAATTAATCAAGATTGAATCATTTCATTTCAATTACTATGAATCGTGTTGGTGTGAAAAGATTTGGATGTTGTTTTCCACAAAGTGCATTTGATATTCCTTCATATGAAAATGAATGTTGATTACAATATGATTGTGTTTTATAATTTTCTTTACAAACACAAATATCATAGCCATATCCATATTGAAACAAACAATTATATGATTGACCACATAACCTAAATGCATATTGTTGTAGTTTAATATCAAATTTCATTGCTTCTTTCATTCTTCCATTTGATTCTAATGAAAATACAAATGATTTTGAATCATTTATCCAACTATTAACTTTATCAATTTTAGAATTAACATATCCTCCAAATTTATTTCCTTCTTCATCTTCAATAATAATTATTATATTTTCTTTATTCCATATTCGTTGTTTAAATACTGATGTAGTTTTATTCCAATCATTCTTATCTGAATCAAATAGTATATTTCCTACTCTTTTTTCTGTCCATTCTTCTATTTGTTCGATTTGATGTTTTGTTATTATTATTTCATAATCGTTATATTTCACTTCTTCAGGTATAACACAACTTTCTATATCACTCATTGATGTGGTATTTCTTTCATTCAATACTACCTCTTGTGATTTGTTTAAGAAACTTATTTGTTTTTCATATTGAATCAAACATTTTGTCATCATTTTTTCTTCAACTACTCCTCTAATTAATTCTTTATCTTCATGACTTAGTGTTTGAGTATTTTCAAGAATATCATCTATCATTAAATGATGAATAAATATGTTTGCAGTATTTATTTCAATTTGATTGCCTTGTTCTTTTAGTTTCTCGTTAATATCATTATGTTCTTGTTGTGCCAGTTTTTTCGCTTCTCTTATCTTTTCAACAGTCATTGTTTCAAGTGAATTTATTTGTTTTTTCATGTTATCCACAATTTCATCCTTTGAATATAACATTATCACAGACATTTCAATGTCATTCATTCTGTTTTGGAATTGATTAAGTTGTTGATAAAAGTTGTCTAGTTGTTTGATGAAATTTCCAATGTGTTTGTTAAGATAAACAGAAACTAATTTCTCTATGTCATGTGAAAGTATTCTTAAATTCTCATTGTCAAAACCATCGAATATATGTGAAACAGTCTCACTCTGTTGATGTTGCATTGTGTTTATTATCAGATTATTGAGAATTAAACCTTTTTAATTTGTATTTGATTGGTTAGTTTTATAAGTTTTTGTTTTATTCTTTCTCTATTTTCCGTTATGAAGAAATATGGCATGTCTGAAATACCACACAAACACTAATACAAATTCAAGCATCGACACTTCCAGTTATTTTCTGGTTATGACGGTGTATTTGAATTAGAAATGTATTAGGTAAAACTGCAAAGGGTGGAGCAAGATATTATGATAGAATATTACATGGTGTAATATAAGGAAGTACTGAAGTGTGGGTAAGACTAAAAGAAAATTAAACATAATAATATAATGGGAATGAAATATTCCTTCTCTCATTCATAAAATAAAGAAAAAAGGAAAAAGAAAATGTTTAAAATTAAGATAGAAAATAAACAAAAGGATAAAAAGAAGAAATAAGCAGAAGAAGGATGAGAAGACATTAATAAGAAAAAATAAAGCAAAGAAGTGATTTTCTCAATTTGCAAGAAAAACATAAATGATAAGTTAAAGAAAAAGATTACTCTTTTTAAAAAACAAATAACTCAGGGATGTGATTAATCTCGGCTAAACTAGGAAGAATATATGAAAAATCTATTAACACTTAATTAATTACTTTGTTATTTATTCATTGAGTTAATTTGTTTGTAAAAAAGATGATAATTTCGTTTCCAATGCAGGAAATACATCAAATTTTTAATGTCATGGTTATTGTGTAAAACCTTTGGGTATTGTAAAGAAAAGCAAACAAGATATAAAAATTCAATGTCATACAATAAAAAGAAATGTCACCAACAATAAATAGCATAAAAATAATGATGATAAACGATACACCAAGGAAAATGGATTAGAAAGATGAAAGAAACAAAGAAAAACAAATAAAAACAAGGTAAATACAATAACAATAAAGATTATACAAATAACAAATATAAATGAATAACAATAAATGAGATACAAGAAAGAATAAAAAGAATAACAAGTGAATGAAAAAAAGGAGAGTATGAAGAAATACACACGAAGTAAGAAAGTAAAAGAAAAAGATGGTATGATAATCAACAAGAAATATATTCAATCAAAAAGAAAAAGATAATTGAAAAAACTAAAGAAAATTAAAGAAAAACGTAAGACATTGAAGAAAAAGACATTAAAATAATTGAAGAAATTAAAAACAAAAACTCAATCAAAGAATGAAATGATAGATGTAAATTTATAAGAATAATAAATAACAAAGAAAGTATAATGAAAATACAAGAAGAAATACAACAAAAGAAAGAAATAGAAAATTAATTGAAATGATGGATTGTTTTTGCAATTAATTGGTTAAATAAGAAATTATATAAGAAAATTAAGATGGGAACAAATAGAAAGTATAATAAAAGTGACAAACATCAATGTCAATAATGAAAATGAATATTTTAAATATAATAAAATGTCACATAAAATAAAAGAAAGCACTAAACAATACATTAAAGTGAAAGTAAATGATATAATAGAAAAGTAGAGTGTAATTCAATTATAAAAAACATCATATTAAAGAATAACTCTACCGAAATTGATGAAGAATATCTTAACACTCTCATCAATAAAGTGAAAGAAATGAAAATAGAAAAATATACAAATATTAATTACTACTTTCAAAGAAAAGAAGCTGACTGATTAATAAATGAAATTAATAATAGATGTGAATTGTCAGGAAGCAGAATGGATTATCTGCAAGATGATATGAATATTTCAATGGTTATGCACCTCTATCTCCAAAATAAAATAATAGGAGATAAAATTGATGAAATAAAAGAAATCCTAAAGAAAATTAACAGACTAGAAGATTTGGTCAATGAAAATGGTACAGAATAAAGTGCATCATGAAATTAAAAGAATATGATAAAGAATGAATTAAAGTTAAAGCACTAGAAAGAATAAAATACCTAAAATATATGATGACAATGAATAAAGAATTAAATTTAATAAAAATGAAATAGTCAGAATCAATACAAATAAAATCATGTTTGATTCTAACAAGAAAATTAGAATAAGGAAGAAACAAAAAATGAAATATACCAAATAACGATATTACTTTAGAATATTGGAAATCGTTATATGAAACACAGGTGAAATTAAATAAAGAGAATTTGAAAATAAAACAAATCACCTCGTGGAATGAAAGATATAGAAATTATGATAATGTCATAAAAACAATAAATGAATTAAATATAAGTATAATGAAAATAAGTAACTGGAAATATTCATTGAAACAATATAAAAATGATAAAAGAAATAAAATACAAAAATAAAATATGAATAATAAATAAAAAGAATAAAATTAATTTAATAAATGATATGAATAATGTTTCATATCATAATAACAATGGATATAAATGAATATAAATAAATAAAGAATAGAATAAATAAGAAATGTTAAAATAAGTTGAATAATAAATTGAAATAAAAGAATAATAAATATAGAGAGTATTAAATTAATTAAAGAATTGAAAATGATATTATTTAAGAAGTTAAAATTAATGTTATTAGAAATATGAATAACTTTATTAAACATTAACCCTACTAAAATAAAACATATTCATTTGAATTATTATAAATGGATAAATGGAATTGATTTATCTGTAATGAATATAGAATAATAGAAACTAATTCTATTAATACTTAATTATTTAATTATTATTTATTATAATGAACATTTAATTTCTGATATTTTTATAGTTTAAATTTTATGTTGAACCAATAATAGACAATCTTGTAAAGAATTTTCAATGATGAAATAGAATAGAAACATCATCGAAAAGATAAATGTACAACATATGCAGATGGATATTTATTGAATTGGTTAGGAGAATGTAAATCAACAACAGAAGTTAAAGGATGTAAAGGAGAAATAGGTAAAGAATATGGATGTAGAGAATGTTCAGAAGGATATTATTTAATAAATAAAGAATGTTCAAAATGTAAAGAGAATTGTACAACATGTTCAACAAATAATGAATGTAATAGTTGTGAAGAAGAATATATATTAACAAATAAAGAATGCATTTACTATTTAGATATTAATAAATGTAAAGAAGTAAAGAATAATAAATGTTCAAAATGTTCATTTTGGTATGGAACGAATGAAGAAGGAAATGAATGTAATAAAGAAGTAGTATGGTTGATGATAATGATAATTGTCATTATTATAATTATTATCATTATTATAACAATTGTAATGATAATAATGATGGTTAATTACATAATGAAGAGAAAAGAAAAGAAAGAACGAGAGAAAACAACAACAATATTCAAAATAACACAATCAAATATCAAATTCATATCACTTGGAGATGGAATATTAACAAATAAGAAAGCAATTGAACTTCAAGAAGGAGAAGAAATTAAAGTGAATGAAGAAATACGAGAATTGATTTGTATTGGAAATGATAAAAAAGAAAAGATGAAGATACAAATAAGTAGTAAAGAAGAAAATGAGAAATATTCAATTAGAACAAACCCAAATGTCATTATAATTGAAGGAGGATACGCATGTGAATTTGAATTATTCATTATAATCAAATGTACAACTAAAATCAAAGATAAAATAATGATAATTAGTAAAACACTCAATAAAGCACAAGAAGAAACAATCAAAAGTATTTCTATTGAAGGAGAAACAGAAATATCAACACGACTTGATCCAGATGAAATAAAAGAAGAAAAGAAAATAGGAGAAGGACCATTTAGAGTTGTTTATGTTGGAGAATTTAGAAGAAATAAAGTAGCAATTAAGAAAATGAAACAAGTTGAAGAAAGTGAAGATAAAAAGAAAGAATTTGAGAAAGAAGTAGCAATGTTAGATAAATTTCGAGATGAATATATTATTCATTTTTATGGAGCAGTATTTATTCCTAATAAAATATGTATTGTAACCGAATATGCAGAATATGGATCAATACAAAATATAATAAATAAAAGAAAAATTACAGAAATACCAAAGAAAATAAGAATCAAATTTATGATAGATGGAGCAAAAGGAATTTCATATCTTCATTCAAATGGAATATTACATCGAGATATTAAACCCGATAATTTCCTTGTTGTATCACTTGATGATAACATTGAAGTTAATTGTAAATTAACGGATTTTGGAAGTGCAAGAAATATTAATATGATGATGACAAATATGACATTCACAAAAGGTGTAGGAACACCAAAATACATGGCACCAGAAGTATTAAATCATCAACATTACAAAATGCAATCAGATATATATTCATTTTCAATAATAATATTACAATTCATTACATATTTCTTCTTTCATTATAAGTTATGTTTTTAATTTATTTTATTATCTTTTAGAAGATCTTTTCATGAATTATTCTATTTGCTTATCACTCATTTTATTGTTTTATTAATTCAAGACACTGTTCATTGTATTTCTTTCGATTATTACTTGGCTCTTATTTGTAAGTTCATTGGTGATATAATTAATCACTTTCATTCCAATTTCTCTGATTTCTTTTGAGTTGATACTTTTCTTTTCTTTGTTATGATAAATCATTGAGTTTGGTCCAACTCCATTCACACTTTCATTCTCCACTTTAACATAAATCCCTTCATTAAACAATAAATCTTCAAGTAAGTGCATTGTTTCCATTCTTCTTCTTGACCTTTCTCTCCTTTTGATTGTTTTGAAAATCGCCTTCTTCTTTTTATTCATTTCAAAATATTCTTTTCCTCGTTGTGTGATGAATTTAAATATATCCAAACTATCTCCATTTCTTTCAATTCTTTTAATTCTGATGAATGGAATAGTCATCACCGATTTTCTTACTTGGTCTGGTGATAATAATTGAATAATAATTTGAAAAAATAAATGATTGCTCCTTCCAATAGAGATTCATTGTTCAATGTCTTGACGTGTGTCAAATACGTTTTGTTTATTTTCTTGGTCATTTCTATTTGTGTCGTGATTTTGTTTTTCTGTCGATCTTAAAATTATTTTAGAACATTCTTTCCTATTTTGTACCTCCTTTTCTATTCTTTTTATTTCATATTATTTTTCTGTCCTTTCCAATGACGTATTTATTTCTCATTTATTCTTATTCACAATTTTCTTCTGTTCTCATCTATCTCTTGACATTCATCACTTTATTTTACTTACCCTCTTTTCTATTTCTTTATTATCATTTATTTCTCATCTTTATATTCATTTATTCTGCATTTATACTGAATTAAGTATTTAATTCTTTATTGTGTCTTCATTGTTTTATACATAATTATCATTCACTTATTATTTTATATTTTTTTGTTGTATTGTTTTCTATTCGCATTTTATCTAAAACAACAATATCTTTATTGCACTTCTTGTTTCTGTTGTTCTTTATCATTCATCATTTTTTTTTTTTAATTATACT